GAAAAGTATCAATGTCACTAAATGTGATGTTAATTATATTATACGTATTATATATTTATTAGCATAGAAAGAGTGCCGTAAAAAGGTATGTAGTAAAATTAGTTATGGGACATTCACTCTTGTATGATAGTAATGCCTAGAATAAAATGGCAATATAAGCATAAAGAGTCAATCTTCAGAAATATCAATTTATTTAATAGCTGAAAGAGTTTATAAATTTATTTCTATAGTGAGAGAAAAAAATCATTTCAGATAAACATAAAATCCTTGATTATAAATATAATACTTTTCCACTTCGGTAAACATCATTTGATTCCCTTGTGATTTATGTTATGTTAACTAGTTTTAGAGTTTTAACTGTTATTATAAATACTCAATACATCGCCATTTATATTTTTTTGCCTACAATTGATATATCTATAATAGACAGTACGTTGGCGCTGTACTAAATTAAATCGCTACTACCGTCATAATAACAATGATCGTAAGAGTAAACAAACCAATAAAGCGATAGACTGTAAAAAAATTGAACTGTCCCTTGAAAATAATCAACTGGTCACACCTTCATTTTTGATAATTCATACTCTAGCAATTATCTATTTTTAAGTGAACTTTAATAGACATAATAGCTAGTTTTTGCTAAAAAATGTTTATGCTTAAGTTATATATACATAGGATTTGTCGAGCTATTTATTAAATCCCAGCCACCCACCCTTGAAACGAACATTTATTAAATCGCACCCACCCTTGAAACGAGCAGCGCAGGGGTATTTATACTACTGTTCGATGACTTTGATTATGGGTTCATTTCAATAGGTCAGTATAAGATTCTTACAGTACTTTTTACCTCAACATTTCTTCATGTAAAACGAATAGCTCTAAGGTAGTCATTTCTGCAGAGTACTGAAATTTATTAAAATAGTATTCGTTATATCGCTAAGGGTGGCCACTGGGTCTTTCAATTTTGATTTGATGGAATATTCTGATGAAAATTGAATAAAAATAGAATCTTTATAGAGTTTTCTACACAGCCATTTTGATGGTTACATTTTCTTCTAACGGTTGCTATCGACAGAGCAAGCTTTGCTTGCATACTCAAGCGATCCTTAGACAAATTATAATGATTGATATAGAATTGACCACAGTACTAAGGACATTGTACCGCACTGTAGATATCTTACAGTACCTGCTAATCTTAACTTGGTATGTCCATCACCGTCCATTAGTTATCATAATGTGCTTTGGACCATTAACTAATCTTAATATAGCATTTCATAGTATTTCATCCGTGAATGCATTATTGAAAAGTAGTATTCTACAAGTATAGCTGTGAATATAGTAGTGCCTGGCTATTACCGGCATATATATAATGTCGAATGGTAAAACTATCTATTAATTATTAACAAATAAGCACATTATCGTAAACCGTCAGCAAAGCGACGTGAGTTTGTACTAGTCTAACTAAATCGAAATTGTAAAATAATGTGTCAAGTTTGCACATAATATAAAAGCTTAAAATAACTACATGTATGTTATACTGTAGATGTATCTAGATGATCAAAGCAACAGAAATATTATTTTAATCAAAAATAAACAGGAAAATTTTAGTAAAAGGTATAAAGTTAATCCTCCTAGAATATCATCGCTATCATCATAATATTTCACTAATGGCTATGTAAGACAGTGTAATATTGTATTCTAAGTTGATGATATATTTAGTAATATCTACCGTAGGTGTATGTTCAACGTGTGATAGATATTCTCGTTAGAGGCTTAAGTATTAAATATAGCTAGCTTAGTAACTGTAATCCTTTTGAAGAGGAGCGCTACAGTGCTCACACTAGAGCTTCACATGAAAGGTGTAAACTATCCTGTATTTGAAATGCTAATACTGAAGTGTGTAGTAAGTAAGTAAAGTTGCTAAGACTGTAAACGCGGAAATGTATATAAGTGAGTGGTTTAGTATAGTAAGAGAGTTCTTTCTCATTAGAGATCCTCAGCTAATCGATTACGTTGTACCTTCGTAAACGAGGTTTTGTTCAATAAATCTTAATTTTCTAAAAGTTTTAAAGATTCTTGATCTATCAACCTCACAGGCTAACTACAAAGTTAGATGATTGCTACATTGGACGTATACTTTACGAAATATACTCGTACACAATTTTAAATTGTAGTGCAAATCTAATATTATGGCGTATTGATAATATTTAATTAAATTAATCGATTAATCAATCAAAAATTTAATTGCTTTAATTTTAGAATCGTGTCACAAACCAGCTTCATGACAAAGATAACGTAAAACAAATCTCTAAATTACTATAGTCTCCGGGATTCAGTTCCTTTAACTACCTCATAAGAATTTAGACGCCTTTGCTTCTACGTTAAAACAACTATATAACTCTTCTTTTATTTAACTATCTGCCGAGCTTAAATACCCTTCGGCAGCAGCTATCATGTATGAGTCATAACAGTTCATGAAATTTAGCTCATATTGGATAGCTAAATTAAGACAGACATTATTCATAATTTTGGACATGTACTGAACGATTTTAGATAATTAGACTACTGTATGTCCACACACAGAATTATTTATGGTATCATCTATAATTGAATATCTTCAGGATATTCATCACAAGCGTTACAAGACATAACACTACAATCAATTAATATTAGTTACCTTATGAGAACTTTTACTACAATACAGTATAATTTACTGTAAAAAAATAATAACTACCGTAGTTCTTACTGTAAGTCATTATTAGTTATCTCCATATATAAATGTTTAACACTAAATTTGGTCATTTACTCTTCATGGTGGTTCGTACCGTGATAAATCGATAGCAAATTATTGTCATTTGTTTTGACAAAATAACTTGATAAAATGACTGGCTAATAATTTATATCTGATTAGTCATAACTTGGTTAAAAATTTTTTATAGTATGACATTTCTATGACGGTCTCAGAACATTTCAATAATGATGAGAAAAAGGCAGAGTACAGTAAGCCTGAAATTAAAATCTTTCACAGAACAAATCACAGCTTTGTAGCACCTTTACTGACCAAAATTGATATTTAAAACTAGTTATGAAATCTAGATAATTAATACGTGTAAGACTTTGCTAGACAGATTCATACAGAATGTAGCGGAGGAAGTTTAGTAATGAGTTAATCTTAATCACTAGCCATATTTTTATTTTTAAGGGGATACAATATTACAAACTATTCGTATTATTTACTTTTAGAAAAACACAGCTAAAGGGTTTTAGATACTTTTCTATTATTATGTATGCCTTAATTTTGACATTGGTTGATTTACTATATGATAATAAATTATTTTAAATCATGTAAAGACGATCATGAATTAAAGTCATAACTTTAGCAGTGAAAACATCTTGATTTTGGCATTGCCAGACCATAATAAAGTTATAATATTTATTTAAAATAATAAAATGATAACTATTGCTAGAAAAACCTTTAGTGTTGTAGGTACAATTTAATTTCGATTTAATTTTGATAGATCAATTTTTGCGCTTACGCTTGACTTTAAAATATAACGTATCGTTACAGTAATCATTCCTTAAAACGTAACTATTCAATATAAAATGCTACAAAACCTGGCATGCTTTTTATCGTAAATAACACTAATTTATAATATAAAATTTAAAAAGCGGCATTTGAATAATTGAAATGCACACACATGTGGCACTCGAAAATTTTGTTAATAAAACCAAAAATACCACGAAAAAGGGAATATACAAGCAGTGCTATACATAAATGTCAAGGTAGTTAAGGTATGAGTTTGAAGAAAAGTGAAACTGAAACTTAAATGATTAATTTTATATCGAAAGTTAAAATTACACGAGATTTTTGCACCCGTACTTCTTAGGTTACGTTAGAATCATCCTCTTAATACCTCTTGAGCTATCTTACAAATGCAATTTTTACATTTCTAAGAAAAAAGATGCAATAAATGATAATAAATTTTATCGATCATAGACCTCGATATGTTTATATAACTTCATGATAACTAAGCAATGAAAATTTAAAAGCCCTCTATAGGAAATAATAATATGTCACGCTATCATCAATTTTTATTCCTTGCTCTTGACAAACATAATAATTACGAAATAAAAGTAGCATCTTCACATATTGCCTTCACTTATTAGATCACAATGGATATGATGGCATTGAGACAGAATGTGACTGTCAGTATTGGAAGCATTAGGTAAATTTCTTCGTAACAATTCATTTTAAAAGACGTTGATTTTTAAAATATAACATTTATTATTTCTTTAATTAGATATCCTAATGTTCAGACTAAAATAATCAAATTTTAAATCAGTTTTCATGGTTGATTAATTTTTATTTATCGAACAATAATTTGCCGAAAACATACAATTTAAAATTTAATATTTTATAATATGGTATATAATAATAAATATATATTTTACAATCACCAATAATTTACAATTAAATTCGCTGGATTTTTAAGTCAGACATGAAAACAATAAATTATTTAAATTAATTTAAAATAGAAAATATCAGTAACCATAAGTAATTACTATAACATCTCATTGAAACATATATTGTATATTTTATTGTCCTTAGATTGACAGACTGTTGTTTTATGGATAAATCTGATAATCTAGCCAAATATGACTCAAGCAAATCAAATTGCAGGTTAGTTAATTAATATGCTATTATATCATACGCGATTACAGATGAAATGAGATAAAAGGCGACGACTATTTTGTGTATAGATTTTTCTAGAATTTGATTACCCAGTTCTCTAATTCACTCAAAAATAAATAAGGATTAAATGGTTAAATAATTTAATTTTACTGTTAAATGAGGTTAAAACTCTTATAATTACAGTAGTATAAAATAAATATTAATATCATTTGAATTCTTGCTCCATCGCCTAGAATAAGATGATTATTAATTAATTATATATCTTTTTCTGAACATATCGATCGCTATCAAATTAAAATCGCTTAGTATGGCACCGCTGATCCAAGGGAAATTAATAATTACTGATTCGGTTATTAATGTAACTAAAGTTCGACAAATATGGGAAAATATGATCAATAATCAGCAGCTGCCGCCTGATTTAGCTTTGTGTCCACTCGGTTTTAACGGATTGTTTCTGACATCGTCATACCTAATTGTAAGTTCTTCTGTCTGTCTTTTGTTATTCTAGCAAAATGATAATAATATGATTAACTGTTACTGTGATTCTATATGTCTTTATATTGATACCAGCATCACAGAGGGAGAGATAATAATAACTGTGCATTATGCAATAAAACAGGATGTGACATTTTTCTGCACTTCCAGTTACGGAAATTAATTCCCTTTTTGTGAACAGACAAATATGACATACATAGCATGAATTCTTATAGTGAAATTTAAACAATTAGCAACATTTTCTCTCTTTACCGCTATATAGGGGAGTGTAAATATCATTTCATAATTACTCCTATTAATATAATAATAAGTTATTTCAAATAAAATCTCTATTGCGTCGTAATGTAGGACTAGACCCTAACTAATTTACACATGTATTCTTTGGTAGTTAAGTAAATACGTAAAATCATATAGGCCATCACATTATTGATAATATAATACTTAAAGATGTATAGCATTATTTAATATTTAGGGACACAAAATATAATATAATACGGATTTCTTTGAATATGTGATATACGGTTACTAATATCTGGCCACTGACCATAGACAATGTGGAAACACCGTTAGTATCATCATTGAATCAGTGGACAACTGTACTTTATTATAGGTTTAGTGAATATTTCACCTACAAGAATCAACTCAGCTAAAAAATTACTAAAAGTTTTGTTTTTATTATAAAAGATTAGAATTAACGCGTAATCTTTTATAGTACTGTGTCACGTTCTGTAATAGTTACATAATTAGTATGTTACCTTCTTTCTATGTATGGTTAAATATCACGATGTTATCACGTCAGGCGTATATAGATGTAGTTATGGTACTATATTAAGGTTATCTATATATGTATTCTCATGTTGCCATACTTGGCATGATAGTCTATTTGTAATGACTAAGCTAGGGAAACCTTTCTGTTAGTGATGATCTTGTGATCTACGTCAGTAGATCAAAGGTCACAATAAAGAAAGTAATA